TAGAATAGAATAGAATAGAATAGAATAGAATAGAATAGAATAGAATACTCGGAATGGACCTTGGAGGTCTTCTAGTCCAACCTCCTGCCTAGGCAGGAAACCCAACACAACTTCCAACATCTTTTTAAAAACTTCCAGCATTGCAGCATTCACAACTTCTGGAGTTGTTCCACTGATTAATTGTTCTAACTGTCAGGAAATTTCTCCTTAGTTTTAAGATGCTTCTTTCCTTGATTAGTTTCCCCCATTGCTTCCACCCACTGCACCTGCCCTCAGGTGCTTTGGAAAATAGTTGACTCCCTCTTCTTCGCAGAGGCAGCCCCTGAGATATTGGAACACTGCTATCATGTCTTCCCTAGCCCTTCTTTTCATTAGACTAGACATACGCAGTTCCTGTAACCATTCTTCATATGTTTTAGCCTCCTGACCACTAATTTTATGCAATTTTTATTGTTATACAGGTAGTCCTGACTTACAACAGTTTAACAGTTGTAATGTAAATGAACAGTTGTACAACAGTTCATTTAGTGATCATTCAAAGTTACAATGGCACTGAAAAAAGTGACTTTTGAATTATGACAGTTTTTCACACTGCTATTGCAATATCCCCATGGTCATGTGATCAGAATTAGGATGCTTGGCAATTGTCTCATATTTATGAGGGTTGCCATTTCCCAGAGTCATGTGATCACCTATTGTGGTCTTCTTACAAGTAAAGTCAACGGGGAAGCCAGATTTACTTAACAATGGGGAAGTCAATTAACAATCATCATACTAACTTAATAACTCCAGGATTCACTTAATAAATGTGGCAAGAAAGTTGATAAAGTGGGGCAAAATTCACTTAACAAATGTTTTATTTAGGAACAGTGTGCAGCCTGCAAGTATACAAAAGCAGAATTTATTTTATTTTTGTACCGGGGCAATAAGATAAACCTAAAAAGGCTGGAAGAGGTGCTTTAGGGTGTTATGCAAATTACAATATACATTTAATCAATGTAGCAGGTTTTCAAAATTGTTTTGGCACATGCATGTTAACATACAGTGAGTAAAGCAATAGTGGTGAAAATAATAACATTCTTGAGTTAAACAAGGAGTCTAAGAACATTTCTGTTAGGATGTTGCTTTCTTCTAAGTATCCTTGATGCCCAGTGGTTTATTATCTTCTTAATGCCCAAATTAACATTAACGTGTAGCTGATGGTTTATTTTTGACAATGCCCAAATTAACATTAACGTGTAGCTGATAGTTTATTTTTGACTTGAAAAGTGTGTTTGATGAAAAGTAATTTGCTTGCCTAACTTAATATTATTTTTATATTCATATATCACAGCAAAAATGTTGGCTGCCAGTCACACTATTTGAATTTCTTTCTATATCATGGGTAGGATCCCTTCTAAAAAGGAATCAAACAATGGGAAATCCATCTTTTAATTTCTACCACAAGCTATTCACTTAGAAACACTAATCACTTTATTCTTTCCTCTCTCAAAGACATACAAATAAACATTGCTTTGTTGTCAGTTTTCCAGCTCTTTCCTGTCAAATGAAAGAAACCTGACCACAGCACTTCTTTTTGGTAATGTGTTCAGGCAATTTTAAAGGAAAGGGTCAAGGTACCATCTGTCACTCTTTCCAAATGGAAAGAGTGACAGGTGTACCTTGACCCTTTCCTTTAAAGAGATCACAACAATATGGGTCCTGAACAAATGGTCTCACATGAGATAGAATATTAGTGAGGTTGAACTTGGAAGAGATATGTCAACCTTGGAAAAAGTCATTCTCAACTTCCTCCTTTTTTCTGGCTGGCTCCCAAATTCTGAGACCATTGCCTCTTCCCTAGAAGGGTTTGTCTGAAATCTTGTAAATCATACAAAATATTTACTGGAGAATGGATAGTCTCTTTGCTTTCTTTTTATTGTTGCAGTCCACCTCTTTTAATGCCATATGATGCATATGTGCAGAAGAGTAAGAGAATTCTTCTACTACCCTTGCGATCAATTTATAAAAATAAAAAGGAATAAAATAATGGGGAAAATGTCTTTCTGATATATACTATAAATGTTGGAGAACATGGAGAATTATGTAACTTTCAGGAGTTTACCTTGGATTAGGTAGCTAGTGCCTTGGTTTAACTTGAGGAGTTGCAGCCAACATCCACACAATAAAATGTTATAAATCTGGCTTAATATTTATGTCATATAAAAAATAAGCATGTATATATCTGATGTATCTGATGTATATATTTAATGTAATAATGTAAATGTATTTAGTGTTGCCTGATTTTGAGAGGCGTAACAAAATAACATTCCAGAAAAAACAGCTATGTTGAAGGAATGATTTCCATGAATATTAAAGTGTATTTATTTCATTTAATTCCAATTCTGAAATTGAATAGATTACCTTTGATCTAATTAATGGCCTTTCCTGTTGTTGTGCCTATCCTCTACAACAGCATCCCCCTGGAGATCTGAATGAGTCTAGCACTATTGGCTTTTTGAAAATCATTAAAGAACTGAATGTTCCTTCAGGCATTTGGGCCAGAAGGTTAACTGAGCCCATTTGTCTTCATGGTTTGAAAGCTTTTATTTTGTTATAATATCAGCCATGTGTAATAGTATGATTTATGTATTTTATTTTATGAACAAAGCTGTTTGTTTTTATGTTTTAGCTTTCAATTTTTGTACAACTTCCAGCATCATCTCTGACACAATTTGTATAAATAAATAAATAAAATGGAGCAAAAAGGAATCAGCTTTCTCAAAATAAGCAACCCATACATGCACATACATACAAATATCTAATTATTGGAGATTTATTTGGAATTTCTTCATCAGTCTTCCCCTCTCTTGAGCTTATCCCAGTGCTTTTTTGGTGGCATGAACTGTAAATTTGTATTTGTTGCCATAGTTAATAGAACCAAAACAACCTCTGAGAAAATGAAATTATGATGGTGGAATAAATTGGAAAGTTAAAGTCCAAATCTCAAATCTGAGCCATAAAGCAAACTGGCTTTCAATCTACATTCATATATGCATATCCATTATAATATTTATCATGGAGAAAGCAATATTATGAAACCTGCAGGAAGGTAATGATAAATAGTAAGCCAAACTAATAAAATCCATGGCGTAAGAAAATGCAATAAATTAGCCAAAACTAATTTACAGAAATAATATTGACACTCCCCCATTGTTCTACCTTTGCAACCTAACTTTATTTCCACTGAGTTTATACATTATATTTTATTATAATCTTTATTTTGGAAGGACTCATTCCTACAACTACAATATTTTCTCACTTTTCCCCTTCCTCTTAACCCATTCATCTTCATATAGATCTTTTGCTATTCAGTACTCATGAAATCTCTCCCTATGACTAAACTATTTAACTGTGCTAATATTGGTCACTTTTTTTATTCAGCTGATATTCATTCAGCATATTTACCTGTGTTTCATTATTTACTCTGTTCCCATTGCATTCAATGTACTTTCATGTTTGACCTGACATATCTTAACAGTCACTTCTATGTTACAAAGCAAGAAGAAACATACTGTTATACACAGGCCTCTGTTTCTTTCAGCTAACACTCATTCCTTGCAACAGACCATATATTATCTAGTACCTTTGTATTATTAATTGTACATATTAAAATTTGTCAATTTCACTATCTTTAGTAAATGTGCTATGAAAATACACGACATTAATCTATTTCCTCCAATTTTCCGCCATTTAATATAAAGTGCAGTTTACTCTTAATTTGAAGGTTTATTAATGTATTAATATTTATTTATTAATATTCCTCACTCCATTATGTAGTCTGATATGCACTGAAAATGATCAGCTTCTCAGCCAATGTCACCTCCATACAAATCTATATGTGCATTGATTTTCTGACCAATTATGTGTAATGGCACCTAAATACTCCTTGTTCATCTGATAAGTTGAATTATTTACTATACATTCCATTTTAATGTGGACTTTACTTTTGTCTTATATCATTCCAGTTGCATTTAGGAACTTTCAACTACATGGTCATAGAAAACATTTTCTAATTCAAGCCACTTCATTTGTCATAACCAACATGTGCACAATAAGCTTTATCTTACATAGTCATACATTCCTTAATACCCTTCTAAAGAAGACATATCTGATCTGTGTATTCTCTGCTTGACATAAAACTATACTGCATTTCCTAAATTTTTATCTAAACCACCTCACATATTGTAATATTTCTGCATTTGCAGCACATCCACACTGTAATGTTTCTGTACTTAGAGCAGCCTTACCATTTTTAACATTTTCACAGCATTTGTGACTTGCTTTTCATCATTCATTTTCTTGAACATTAACATTTAGAACATTCATTTGAATTCTGGTCTACATATTACTGTCATCCAAGTACAGATCTCTAAAAACTCCTACCAGCATTCTATCACTTCAGTTTCATCCTAAATCATCTCTTCACTTTCATGTTCAATTCCATTCTCTCTGCTGGAGACTCCTTATTTAGCCCTTTTCACCTACTTTGACATCAAAAACTTGCATTTTCTTCAAACCTGAATTGCAAGGATTATATATGGTTTATGTGAACATAAAATTAATTGGAAGGAGAGTCATTCTGATAAACTAAACAACCTTTCTCTGCCAACAACCAGTTACTTCTTTTGAAATTCCTTCTCATGCACATAGTAGATAAATCCTTAAAACAGTAATATGATAAAGAATTGTAATTTCTTGATTTTTAACTAAACCTAAGTTGGAGAAATCTGAACAAAGACACTACTTTTGATCCATCTGTATCACATTATACTACATTTTAAAAGTCAGAGCCAAATAGGCTAAGGAAGGAGGGGAAAATGGTCCTGCTGTGTGTCTAAAATCTGGTAGTCAGATGCTTTTGAATATTACGGATTGTGGATTTTTCCCCAAGGTCTTTGTAACTTGGGAATGAATGCAATTGTATAAAAGCACTTGCATTACAATAAAAATACTGTAGCTGTATTAATTTCTTTAAGATTTATGCTATGCTATGCTATATTCTTTCGAGTACTGATTAGGATTTCCTTGTTTGTTTGTTTTTCAAGCCATATTGCTCTCTTCATCTCCACCTGAAGGTTTCAGAGAATCCTTACACTTCTGGTAATATTGCCAGTCGCGATACAGCTCCAGGAATCATTGTAGCCTCTGGTAAGAAAGATTCCATGCTATATAACTAAAGTCTACAATTTCTTATTATTAAGTGCAACATAAAAGTTCAAATTTTCAACTTGTGGTTCAAAGGTGACATGAAGTAATAGTTGCAACCAAGAAGATCTAGTTTAAATCTCTTTTTTTTTCATGAACTCTCAAGTTTGGCCTGAGTAAAATCACCGTGTTTCATCTTCTGTCAGCAAAAACAAGGAAGGTAACAAAATTGACTTAACAAAACCTAACAAAAAAGGTGGGAAATATTTGTTTTGTGATACCCTTATTGCTGGTTTGTGGCTATGAAATTGAATCTTGTCATCATCTAAAGGACAACATTTGTCTTACCTTTATTTTTTAAGGTTGGTGCAAGAATTGCAACATGATTAACTAATATATATGATAATAATAAAAATAATATATATAAATATATATAATATATATAACATCCACACAAACTATTGATAAATTAACATTGTTCCATTTTTCTGCTTTTTAATATAAATTGCATCCTTAAGTCATCACTGTTCAGCACAATATATATTACTAAAAGCACAAAGATTTCAGTTTTCTTTTACATTTAAGTTTTATAGGTGGGGTACTTTTCTTTACAGGTAACATTGGATCAGAGTTGTCAGAAAATGATATCAGCATGTTTGTTTCGTCTGATGCTGGAAACACTTGGAGACAAGTGAGTAGCAATAAAAGCAAAAAGTGGTCAACTGGGGGAGGAGAATAGTGTGAAATACCTCTAAGGAGCAGTTTATTGGAGCATTTTACTTGATTGTGCAAAACAACTATTAATCTCCATAAAGAGGCTAATTTTCTGTTAGCCTCCACATTCCAGTCCTCATAAAACAGAGGATAATGTGGACTGGGAGCAGATAATTTCCCCCTCAGCTATCCTCTCTTCATTGAACTTTGAACATGTGTTGATTTGGGGCCAAAAGTTAGTAAATAACTAATATACGGTATCTATGATTATTTTATTTAGTTGGTATTTTGTGTGCTTGAATTTTGTGTGCCTTCCATTGTTTTCACATATTCCCCTTTTCTGATAGACCTGTTTATATAATTAATGTTTGGCTTAAATTATTGGTTTAAAAAGGGAGCTCATCCTATCATAGTTACCCCTTGAGCTAGCATAACATTTATTAATTTCTCTATTGTTTTCAAAATACTTTCCTTTTTTATGCTTTAAGAGGTAGGCTGAAGAAAAAGCCCTGAGTTTCCGTCTGACTAGTGGCAGTCTATCTTAATTACTTTTTACCTTCCAAGGGGAAACTGTGAAAAAGGGTCTGACAAGTAAGATTATCAATAATCACTCTTCATGTATGTAAGAAAACCAAACTAGAATCCCAGTTTAGGGCATCTGTTCCTTTTTGTACAATTATGAACGTTACCATTATAGATATTATATGTTATTGGAAGATTCACATATTTTCACCCTGCATAATATCCTTTAGCAGGTACCATGGCATCTCAGTAGTTACTTTTTAGTTTACTGTTATTTAATTCATTTCTTTTTCCTTTTATTTAATCCTACTCCCACTGATTTATGACAAGAGGAAAATGTGGTTCATCATTTACATGCTATTGTGCTGTTCATTCTCATTTACAAAGTTATACTAACTTAATTCCCTGGTTACAAAACCTTTGAAAAAAAGATGTAGTGACTGAACAAGACTTATTCAGTTAGATATATGCTTTCTCCTTCCCATATTTCACTAAGGCACCAAAAACTCAAAATCTCAATGAACAAGAAGGAGATTGTGTTGTTGCTTTAAAATGTATGGTGACAGCAAAATGGGGATGGAGAGTGGGTGGGTGGGTATGTAACTAAATCCTTCCCCATTGGCTAAAGAAAACAATTTTGTAGTATAGCTTAAAAAGTGGGAGGAGTGAAACTAGTGCCTTACCCAGAAAAACCTCCAAGCAGATTCCTATAGCCTCAGGATTCTTGAGCCTTGTTCTTGAGGCTGAGAGGATAAATAATTATAGAATGTAGATCTGAAGGAATTATCAGAAAAGACAATCCCAGATAGAGGGATCTTCATCTCTTTGATCTAATGAACAAAGACATGAAGGCGGCTTTCTAGTAAATGTATGCAGAATGAGAAAGGGGAATTGAGGAAAACTTGTTCTTGCCTCTATTCTGGGAAAGTAATTGCTCAGTGGTTAGATATATGAGAAAAACAGAGATGAAGGCAGGTCAGTGGAAAACATATTTCTGATTAAAAGAAAGAAAGCTGTTGGCTGCTAGAAAGACAATGGAGATATTTCTGCAGAATCTAGATAAGGCATTCAGTTAGAATTCCCCACCAGCATGCTTTATTTCAATGGGTGTTTGCTCAATATTGTTAAATATAGTTAAGTGGACTAATTTCTGTGGATTATTATAACTTTAATTATTGTCTCAAAATCTAAAGTTCCATATTCATGCTTGGCAAACTGAGCATAAGTTTTTGAAAAGCTATGTTATGCCATTGACTTTAATCATCCATAAGTAGCAAAATACAACTAGACATAAATCAAATCTAACTGCCAGGTATGCCGGCTCATCTTTAGTGAACCATTTATTGATAAGAACAAGAAATAAACAACAATAAAACTAATACATAAGAACATTATCTTGGTTCAAGTGTTAAAGATTTACATGTATTTCAGGTAGATTATTTATACTGATATAACTACAATCTCTTACACAAAGCTAAGAATGAGAATTACTAAATAAAATGTGTTGTTTTCCCCTTGCTTTCCTACTTCCCAAATTAACTCTATATCCATTAACTAAGTATAAGCATTTAAAGAGGTTTAACAATCAGATAATAATATGGACAACAATATGCATGACTCTTGTATATCACTGAATACATTTTAGCAAGTACTTGGCATTTAATTAATATGCAATTACCACCTCATAAACTCAATTCAAGAACATACTTAAGAGAATTAACCAAGCAAAGTCTAAGTGCTCTATTAATACTTATTGAATCTCTTAGACATAAAACATTGGGAGTCCTGTCTATAGGTCTCTAAATATAAATCGAAATATTTTTATGGTACCAATTAAAATATGTAGTATATCTAAAAAATATGGTTCTGCACAAAATTGAATTGATATCTAAAAAGAATTATTTTAGGAGCATCCAACATTCATATCAAACTTCTTTTGGTGGTGGAATAGAAAAGATATCCTCAAACTGACTATCCTATAAGTACAGGAGAGACAATATTTCTTAAATTTTTAGGCTTTAAAACTGAAACCAGCAAGAATTGGTTCCCAAAAAGTGCTAGATACCACACTTTAATTTTAGATTGGTCTGGAGATTGGTCTGCAATTCATGATGATATGTTGTTTACTAAATGAAGTTTGCAAACACATTCCATGCTACATAGATTGCATAGATTATATAGATCTAATCTAAAAGTAAACAAAGCATTTATCACTGTAAGTTGCTCTAAATTAATCAGAAATAGATGGCCTTTATGCTTCCAAATGTAGACCAAGATTATATTTCTAGGAATGTGATGAGAACCTCCACTTCTTAAGCAAGACTTTCAAGGGGGAAATTTGAGGTTCAGGCTCCACCTCTTCTCTGAATCACAACTTCTCAGACAACTGATTGGTTTACCAAAAGGAAATTCCATTTTTGTGGTTGTTAAATCTGCAAGATTTATTTATTTGATTGATATCCCACATTTCTAATCAAATGAATACTTATTAGAGCTATGGTTAGCAAAGTATACAAATGTTGGAATTTACAATATCTTTTTTTCATGTAACTAGAATTTTCATCTAAGAAAGTTTATATGCTGCAATACATGAAAAATATATGCATATATATTTTACTGTTTGTGTTTGGCTTGGAAAGCTACAGATAAGGTACCACTAAATGATTAGTTAAAAAAAAGAATAATGAAGAATAATGAAAAAAAGAATCATTATTCAATAACTGTAAACCTTTCTTTTGAATAAATTATTACTAATCCTGTCCAGGTATCATATTATCTGATATTCTCACCATGTATACATCTATATTGCTAAAGACTTCCATTCTTCAGATGACCAAGCTCCTTTTTTCTTTCCTTCCTTCCTTCCTTCCTTCCTTCCTTCCTTCCTTCCTTCCTTCCTTCCTTCCTTCCTTCCTTCCTTCCTTCCTTCCTTCCTCTTTTTTTTCTAAACAATGAAATAAAATCTTGATCATTCTCATTCCTAACAATATATTTTTTTGGAGGGGGGGGACATTAATATGGTTAAATGTTTATATACTTATTTATTACAAGAGAAACTTGTCGCCCCTTGGTTCTACAAACAAAGGATTCCATTATCTTTTTATGTGTCTCACTAGATCTTTGAAGATGAACACAGCGTCCTTTATCTGGACCAAGGTGGGGTTTTGGTTGCTATGAAACATACATCTCTGCCTATCAGACATCTCTGGTAATTAATGTGACTTCTCTAATTCCATTCATCATAGAGTCCTTCAGTGTGTATTATATGCCATTAGCTGTTGGATTGCGACCAAACTTTTTACTAAGTGCCAGGATATGTCAATTAAACAAATGAGCATGCTACCTCTTTTTCACCCCAATAAAACTATATCTGCATTTTATACATACAATTTTTGACAAACAAAACACTTGCAGGGCAATATTATAATCTACATTAGTATTAAGAAGTTGCATTGTTTTGTTCTAGCTGAAGGTTAGGAAATTTAGCTGCAGTTTAGAAAGATATAAAGAACACTGAAGGTTAAACCCTCTTGATATAGAAGAATAAGAAAAGAAAGTACAAGAAGAGACTAAAAAAGGAACAGGGTGTAAATATTCACGTTGGGGAAAAACAAATTATAATTTTTTAAAAAAGTAGTAACCAAGGACAAATGTAACCAGAAAAAGTGCAGATTCTATATGGAAGAGCACATTTTGATATCAATGCAACTGAACTTATTTTGTTCCTATATTAGGTGTTTCTAATATGGATGAGTTTTTAAAAAAGTTTCTTTAAAGGGATACTGTGATTGTTCTCCCGTACTTTCAAGAGCATCTCTTTGAAACCATTAGTAAAATATGTAGAGTTCTTGAATTTATGATTTGCCATGGAACCAATGTGACAGGATCTCAAGTGGATGGTTGTATCTACAATTACTAAGTGTGAGAGCAGTTGTAGTCCTAATTCTGAGTTATCGTCAGTATTCATACATTTCTGAACATTTATTTATCTCCATTATTGTAGTAGTTATGATGTATAAAAATACATATGGAGTGGGTTTCTTATCTGACTTTAAATCTATTGTTTTATACATAAAAAGGTATTTTTATATTAAAGACATTCTAGGCAAAGAATTGTTCCTCTGTCACTTTGACATCTGTTATTATACTTTTAGTGTACTTCACAATTCCACGTTCTACAATTTTAGCATGATATTCATGTCCTCCAGTGGTGATCCTCCACTGCTGAACTACAGTTTTCCAAAGCCCACATATCACGAGAGAACTTAGTAGCTGTAATTCAATAACCACAACCTTGCATTATCCACTTCCAATCATTCCTAAGAGTGTGTCAACACTTGTTATGTATGCCTTTGGGTGTCCTGTTTTTTAAATGCTTTCTTTTGGTGTCCTATTTTTAATATGTTGATAATGATAGTTTCATTCTAAGCCTTTCCAAATTAGGGAAATTATGCTTAATATGCCTGCAATATATAAGAATAATATTAGATGATTTATGTTCAGCTTTTGCCATTTATCTGCATTTAATTCAATTTCTTCCATTTGCTTTAACATTCCTATAACATTCTAATCCTTGACTTACAACCATTATTGAGCCCAAAATTTCTGTTGTTAAGTAAGACATTTGTTAAGTCAGTTTTGCCCCATTTTATGACCTTTATTGCCACAGTTGTTAAGTGAATTCCGGCAATTGATAAGTTAATAACCAGTTGTTAAGTGAATCTGGCTTACTCATTGACTTTGCTTGTCAGAAGGTCCCAAAAGATGATCACATGACTTTGGGATACAACAATGGTCATAAATATGGAACCAGTTACAAAGCATTTGAATTTTGGTCACATGATCATGGAGATGCAACAAAGGTCATAACTGTGAAAAACAGTCAGCCACATTTTTCAGTATCATTGTAACTTTGAATGGTCACTAAACAAACTGTTGTAATTCGAGGACTACCTGAACTTTCAAAATGCATGGCATTATATATGTGAACATTACACAAAATAATACATAGGAATATATAGTTCTTAGGGAGATTGTGTGTCCTTAAAACAGCTTTTGTTTATTATTCTTTTCTTTAATGTAATCTATTATGAAAAGTTATTTATAATATAGAAAGAAATTATTTTTATTTCTTCTGTTACTGTTTTCTTTTGCTTTTTTATCACCAGGTTAAGTTTTGATGAAGGAAGATCTTGGAGCAAGTACAGTTTCACCTCCATCCCGCTTTTTGTTGATGGGGTTTTGGGAGAGCCTGGGGAAGAGACTTTAATAATGACGTGAGTAGATATTATTTATTTTTATTTATTTAGAAAATGTATATTGCTGCCTACTTGCACATGGCAACTCAAGGTGGCTTACAAGCAGGGGTGGGATTCAAAATTTTTAACAACTGGTTCTGTGGCGTAGGTTAGCTTGGTGGTCATGTTATTGGCTGGGTGTCGCCAACTCAATATCACTCACATTGAGGCACGCATCTCCTCGACTGACCTCTCATGACTGTGGAGATGCTGCAACAGTTGTAAGTGTGAAAAGTGGTCATGTCACTTTTTTCAGTGCCATTGTAACTTTGATCATTCCACACAAGCAAAGTACCAGCAAAGGAGGGGGGAAAAATTCCAGAGAAGTTCCTGAGAACCAAGAATGCCAAGAATGTAATAAGGGTTAACAGAGAGGCAGTTTCTATAAGCAAACCCAGAATGTTTCCTTCCTGTCTTCCTTACAGGATTAGGCCAGTAATTTCTTCTAACAACCAGTTCTCCGAACTGCTTAGAATGTTAACAACCAGTTCTAGCAAATAGGTGAGAACTGGTAGAATCCCACCCCTGCTTACAAGGACATAAAAACACAATATAAAAGAAATAAAAATAAAAAAAATAAAAAACAAAATTAATAAAATAATAACTCCCCACTCTGGGGACCACACACATTCACACCAGCCATTTAATGGGCTCCATTTTGCTCTGAATTCCCCAGGCCCTTTGGCATTGTTAAATAGGTAAATCTCACATGAAATAACAACAATAAGGTCCATTATATTGTTATTAAATATAGGAAATCTAATAGATGAAATATCATTTGTAATCTAAGAATATAAATAGAATGTGAAGTGTTACACTGATTACGTCAATATCAGAGATGGTATTCAGCAGGTTCTGACAGTTCTGGAGAACAGCGGAAATTTTGAGTATTTGGAGAACTGGTAGCAGAAATTTTGAGTAGTTCGGAGAACCAGCAAATACCACCTCTACCTGGCTACACCCCTATCTATTCTCTACCTCCCGAGTCCCAGATGATTAGCTGGGTCTTCTTTTGTTGCCCTGCACAGGAGAACAGAACTGGAAAGCAAGTTAGTGGGGTGGGGAGGGAATGGGGATTTTACAGTATCCTTCTTCTACAATGCCCACAAAACCACACCCACAAAACCACAACACACCCACCAAGCCACTGCCACAGAACCAATAGTAAAAAAAAATTGAATCCTACCACTGGTCAATATGATTCTTGTGCACTCTTTAGTAGATTTTTGCAGATACAAAAATTGATGGGGATATGTTTTGGGTTGAGATTCAAGCAAAGGACCTCTTTGGATATGAACATGCAAAGAAGGAAAGAGGTGCATCTCTTCAGCACATCAGATGTACTTCACTGCCTTACCATGTGGATGCACATAAGCCCAGTCTGTAAAACAAACTAGCCTATTTCAGCAATTCTCTCCTGTCTTGAACTTTAATCATACTGAAGTAGAGCTACTTGCATCTGTGAGATAAAGCACCAAAGTAGATTGTAGTTGATTTATGGTACGTAACATAATGCTTAATTTTTCATCAATCATTAAGTAACTGAAAGTTTATCCACTAATTTCTGTTAATAAATAGATATGTGCATGAGTATGTGTGGGTGGGTGTTTATGTGTAATGTTGAAAGAAAAATTACGCTGCATTTATTATTGCTATATTTGATTACTGAAGTTTTAATTTGTTCAACTTCATGCAGCCAGTTCCAAAAGAATAATCACCATCTACATCAATAATACTGATCAGCAATTTATAAATATTGTAAATAAATGAAAAAAAAAATACATAAATAATACTTGTATTTTGATTTCCTGCCTTCTTGCCTTCCCGCCTTCCTTCCTATAAATCCCACTTTCTATATACTAGCCATCTATGTTCATAATTAAACCTGTAACTTACAATATCATTTGAAAGCTGTTATTATAATTGGAATGTATCACTAAAGAGAAATTGGAAGCTTTTTTATGATTAAGGCCACAATCCTGTATACACCAGAAAAGTCCTTTCTTTTACTAGGGCCATAATTTGTAAGGAGATATGTATAGTATTATATTCGTTTCATTTTGTTGATCTGTTAAAATAATTGTTTGCTACTATTATAATCATTCAATGTTTTATTCAGTGTTTTTGGACACTTCAGCCATCGTTCTGAGTGGCAGTTGGTAAAAGTGGATTACAAGTCCATTTTTGATAGACGCTGTGCAGAAGATGATTATCGACCCTGGCAGCTTCACAGCCAGGTAAAAAGTCTGACCTAGAATTGAACTGAAATTAATATAATAATTAATTAAAAAGTTGGGAATCAACCTAATTTATTGCTTCAAAATCATTGAATTCACTATCTATTCACACTTTGGTATACATTCTACCTGCAACTAGTAAACATTTATGGTGAAAGGTAAAACTTGATTTTTTTTTAAAAAAAGGCTTCATACTTCATTGTTTTGAACTGAATGGTGAATTCTCTCCCTCCCCACCTATTTTAAAAGACAAGGAAGTACAGAAATAGAAAAAGAGCTGGTCCCAAGGCCAGACCAAAAAAAGCTATCTCTGCAGTGTCCAGTTCAGTTTCTGGACAGAAAACAATATCTTCCTCTCTTTAAAATGTGCAATCTTGGAATAGTTCACTTTTTAAAACATGGTGTTCACTGTCCTAGTTTCTCTGTGTCACCTGCCATCCCTGCAAACCAAAATAACCTTCAATTTAAAAGAATTTAATCTAGTCATACTGTTACACTAGACACTGGTTAATGGCACTAATTAATAATCAGTTCAACGTTAATTTGACTGTTGTCAGGGTCTTAATCCTTCTTGTTTGGGAATCTACATGTTGTTTTCTTAAGTTTAGCTGGCTGAGACATAGAAAGTTCATAGGCCCTGAAATGAGATTGCTACTGAACAACAAAACGTTTTCTGTGTTATGGACAGCACTATTTGAAACTACCTAATTACTTGGAAAGCCGCATCACATCCATTAAATTTACAAGAGTATAGAATTTCTAGGCTCTGTCACCTCACTTTTTTTTTTTTAAGGCAGCTTCAATCTTATAAAAGATGGCTAGGAGCTTTATAACCAGGTAAGGACAAGTAGCTTGGATAACATATTGAGCTTGGAGCTTGAAATCAGCAGAATTCATGACTGTTTGACATTAGAAAGCTCCCGGTCATCTCTTGAAAAATTGAGGCTGCCTTTAAAAAAAAAGTTGCTTACTTTTTATTTGATAGAATTTTGGCCAAATTACTAAAACCTCGTTTCTGTACTGTATGTGCTGTGTTTTATTTCAGGGGGTCTCACTCCAGGGAGTATGTGGGTGGAAGTTTTTTTCATCTGATATAGGAATGGGAAAGGAATAAATCCAGGCTCATACTTTTTGCTCTTAGTCATACATATATAGTAGGTAGTCCTTGACTTGCAACCATTCATTTAGCAACCTTTTGAAGTTATAATTGCACTGTAAAAATTGAACCTTGCACTTATGACCACTGCAGTGCCTGCACAGTGACATGAATCAAAATTTGGGTGCTTGGCAATGTCTTTATGAGGGTTGCAGCATTCTGAGGTCACGCGATCAACATTTTCAACCTCACCTTCTGCTTCCAATAAACAAAGTCAAAGGGGGGGGGGGGGGAAGCTATTATTCACTTAACAACTGTGTGATTTACTTAATAACTACAGTGATTAGCATTGCAGGGTGAAAAGTTTTTGTAAAATTGGGCACAATTCACTTAACAACTACCTTGATTAATAATGAAAATTCTAATCCCAATTATCTGCACACAAGTATTTCTTTGCTATTATAGTCCTACCACCATAATCTTTGAGACACTGACTATATGACGACTTTGTTCTTACAGTAGAAAAATATGAATGGTCCCCACTGTTTCTTTTTGTGTTAGTGTACCATAATTGTTTGCATTTGTAATTTGCAAAAATATACCTGATCACTGTGGTAAAAGCCCCCTCCTCTCTTTTCTTTACTCAGGGAGAAGCATGCATCATGGGAGCCAAAAGGACTTACAAGAAGCGTAAGTCAGAAAAGAAATGCATGCAAGGCAAGTACGCTGGAGCCATGTCCTCTGAGCCATGTGTCTGCACAGAAGCAGACTTTGACTGGTGAGTTGTGCTTAATAACAAAGAATGAAGTCACAGCTTATATGGATTTTGCTATATAGATGTACATGTAGCTTGATTTTCTCCCAGGGGACAAAAAAATCCTAGAGATTGGATAGATGGGAATTGTCTTTCTAATTAATGTGGTACCACCTCAGCATATGCTCCTAACATCACTAAAGTTACAGAACTATATATACCTCGTAAATGGTGACATCAAGATTCAGTATTTCATGATAGGAATGCATGTTTTGTACCATCGTATGAATAGGTAACATACTATTACCAATTCATTTCTACATTAGTGAAGAATAATGCAGAAGTAATCTTGGTGCAATGATACATGTTAATGTTCTCCAAGCACTTGAAAAAGGGCAGCATTAAGGTGATATCAAGCTCTAACCTTTTCATAGCTGTCCAAAAAGGTGCTGTAGGGTAATTGCAACTTAATTCAACTAAATGCAATTACAGGCTTTGTACCCTACAGGTCTCCCATTTATACAAGTACTGTAGTCTCATTTAACATAGTTAGTTTCACTGCAGCCTTTCTTATCAATATAATTCTTCACTCTCCATGATTCCTACATTTAGCTCCTAAATCCTGTTCAGTCTGCAATGTTTTATAATATCAGTGACAAGCTATAAGAACAGAATCAAGCATATAATAAGAATTGAACTTTATGGAAAGCTATACTTTACAGCCTAATTCTGAATTTAATAATCCATTTGTTTACTTCTTTATGCATTTAATCAATTTACATGGTTGCTCAACCCATAATCTGAAAATCTGGGCAACTAACAGAATTAAAGGCTGAAGAAAATCCATCAAGGTGAAAAGCAACACAAATAAACATATAATGTAATTAATGCCAACTATAGTTATTCAATTTCCAATCATTACAGAGAGCCTCATTCTAGGAAAGGCCAGGTCTCTGCGATCTTATTGAGGCCACAAGGTCATCTGAATCTCTGGGGTTATGCTGCTCCTGAGAAGGAACAGGAACTAAAATTCTTCTCATTAAAAATCAGAATTCAAGATGACTGGAATGTAGATTTCTTAGTCCATCTCAACAAATATTTACTAATAAATCAGTCCAAAATTAAACAGTCCAACCTAACAAAAACAGGAATACATGTCAAAATAGGCAAGAAAATGGTAAGATACTACCTATATACTCTAGACAAATTCAAATCACCAGGACCAGATGGATTCCAGCCCAGAATTCTGAACGAGCTGGTGGACGTGATCCTGGAACCACTGGACCAGATCTTTCAAACATCCTGGAGCACTGGGCAACTACTAGAAGCCTGGAAAAGAGCCAATGCCCATCTTCAAAAAATAGAAAAAAAATGGATTCAGGAACCTACAGACTGACGTCAACACCTGGAAAAATCCTGTAAAAGCTAATCAAGCAACAAACATGTGCACACCTAGAAGCAAACAAAGTTATTACTAGAAGTCAATATGGATTTGTCAAAAACAGATGATGCCTGATAAATCTTATTGCATTCTTTGACAGAGTGACTAAATTAGTGAATCAGTGAAATGCTGTAGACATAATATACTTGGAGTTCATTAGTCATTGAACAAAGTAGACCACAACCTACTGCTTGCTAAGATAGAAAAATGTGGCTTAGATATCATCCCTAGATGAATTTGTAACTGCTGAACCACGACATTCAACATGTCATAATGGAACTACTGTATATCTACATGGAATGTGGTATCCAAGGTTCTGTCTTAGGCCCAATACTCTTCAACATTTAAAAAAAATTAGATGAGGAAATAGAAGGGTCAGTCATCAGATTTGCAGATGACCCAAACCTGGAGGAAATAGCCAACACTTCAGAAGATCATCTCAAGAGCCAGCAGTGTGATTCAGCTACCAAAAAAGAAATGCAGTCTTAGGCTGCATCAACAGAAGGATAGAATCAAAATCACATGAAATGTTAGTACCACTTTATACTTAATTGATAAAACCACATTTAAATAGTACAGTTTTAGTCAGCATGATATTAAAAAGACGTTAAGGCTCTAGAAAAAGCAACAAAGATAAGGGCATATGAAGAATGGATTGCAAGATCTGGGTATGTCTAGTCTAACAAAAAGAAGGACTAGGGATGATATGAATCTGTTAGAGTAGACATACCCAGATCTTGCAAAGGGTATCAACCTATCTTTAAAGCACCTGCAGTAGGACTAGAAGAAATTAATAGCAATGTCTCAAGAAGCAATCCGTCCTATAACTAAGAAGAAATTTTTTGACCGTGAGAACAATTAATCAGTGAAAGGGCTTGCCTCCAGAAGTTCTGAATTCTCCTTCACTGGAGGTTTTTAAGAAGTGATTGGACACCCATTTGTCTGGAATGGTATAGGGTTTCCTTCTTGAGTATGGGGTTGAACTAGAATTCTTTCCAACTCTACTATTCTATTAATCATTTTTGGTTTTTTTATTAACTAAATTTATTTGTCTTCCATCATATTTCAAAGAGACTCTGGCAATCTGTAGCATTAAAAGTATTAAAAACAAAAGACATATTTCTAAAATGATAAAAATGGAATTACAATCAAATATATTTTTTTAGCTTTACATTTTTTAAAAATTCTATTTATTTGTTTTAGTTTTAAAAAATCTTTTTTTAAAAAAACAAACAAGAATCGTGTTTGATTATCACACCAAAAGAAAACCTGACATTGCACTTGCAAGTTTCAGATTTGTCACAAATTCTGGGTAAAAGTGTGCAGATTTCCTGTGACAGCAGAATAAGTAATTCCTGAACTGTGTTGAAAGAATTGTATATTAAAGTATAGGAAAGAAAGAAAGTTAAGTTTTTGATTTGTATGCATTGCCCACTTTTTACAGCCAGGGGGCAATAGTGTTTCAGGAATGAATGTCACAATGGAAATGGTGCACTTAGTCCCAGGAATAAATATATCCTAGCAACTGCCTAGAAACCAACCCGTATTTATTTAAGTAATAAATGGATTACACAGTGACATATATGTTATTAAGCATTTCTTTGCCAGATTTTCATGGACTTTATTCCAGCATGAATGGGATTATTCCAGAAACTGATCAAGTATTTGTTTTTTTAAGAAAAAAGATAAGTCTCGATTAACATGCAAATACATCGTTGTTGTTGTTGTTGTTGTTGTTGTTGTTGTTGTTGTGATCCTTCTGTGTGAATTCTATTTTCTCTAATGTAGTCATTTTTAATGCAATTTTACATGACATCCATTTCTGAAGCATTTTTTTCATCAGATAAATGCATTACAAGATTTGGAGAAGTACTGAATAAATGGATAACTGTGATCCAGAGAACACAGTCATCCCATGGGTACAAATTAGGTTAAAACACAACTTGAACATAACTCTCCCCATCAGTACATAATGCATCAATGTTCTTCAACAAGAAAGAAAATTTCATTTCTAATTTAATAATTAGGTAAAACAATTTTCAAGTAAAACAATAGGATTTCATTAAAACCAAAATCCTAATAATCCCACAAGGAGAAAAAAAACAGGATCCAAAAAACACATACAATGTAAAGGGCTGTATTAGCCAACATGGAGGACAGATATGCAGAAAAATAGCAGAGCCCATCACTTGCAGCCAGAATACACAGTGAAAACTCTTTCATCTCACAGCAAACAGCAACCACAATTTCAGTTGTCAAACTGAACATCCTAGGCAAATCCAAATGGCAAGGAATTCCCGGAAACTTGGCATTCAGACAAATTAGTCATTTTTAGACACATGTAAATAAATATTTACACATTGTTCAGAAGAGGCAATAAAAAACTAAGAAGGAAACAAAAAGGCCGGAGTGCATCATTTTCAGCATAAACACACAGATAAACTGGGATTATACTATATGGATAAACAATCAAGCAGAAAACCATACCCCAGTAACACTGACAGGAGGGGAGGGGAGCAAATCCCACACTCACCAGCACTGATGATGTTATCTTTTGGAGTAAAGAAACATTTGCAAGCAAACAAGAACCAAGGATTCTGCAGTTCAACCCTGAACTACTTAAATTCTCTAATATTAGAATTTCATTAAGGCCTACTCTTACATTCTAATACAGATTGTCTATTTTATTTCTCCATTCTTTTAAAATTAATATTAAAATGTATATCTGTGTGACATATAATATGAAGGCTTGGATTAAAAACTGGAAAAAGCTGGGAAATCATATGCATACTCCTTAACAAACTTTCCAGGTTCAATTTATGGTCAGTCACTTCTTCACTCATTCAAAGTCTATTGAAATACATAGATCTTGTAGGCCTCCTATGCTTTCTACTTAGCCTTTTCAGGTAGGTACAGATAGAGCAAACCAAACACATAATAACCTTGATTAACAACTGAGATATATTGTAATTAGAGACACATATAACTTTTTATTCACCGAACACTGAGGCACATAATGTTCTTTCTCCTAAACTTTCTTTTTATTTTCTTCTTCCAATTTATTTAATGTATTCCTTCTGATTTCTTTGTAACTTCTTCAAGCTCCTAGCAGAAATTCCATCCTGCTCTCGATGTTTTCTCCTAAATTTCTCAGCTTTCACCATATTTGCACATAATCATTTCCATTCCTTACTCTGTCCCTAGTTTCTCCACTAATCCTTATTTTTGTAGTTTTCTCCTTTTTGACCTGTTTTATTTTTTCCTACATAATCTTTACTTTCCTCCCCACATTTCAATAGCTTTCCTAAGATTTCATAGATCTATTTCTAAAGTGCTAAATTTAATGGGTGAACTCTGATATCTTTAATGGGTAAATTCTGATATCTTAGAGCAATGAAGTCCACCTATCATTGTCAGTCTCTGATTTCACTTGACAACAATATTTTTTCAAAAGTTTTGCTTCTTGAAATACTTTTTGGTGATTAAAATAGATCCCCTCAAACTAATCTTGACAAGATTAATTTAATGTCTATAATGTATTTAACATATCACATAATATTTCTGACTTGCTGCATGAGTTGAACAGGGCCAAAAATGTTTTGCTGATGATTTTTGTTTGTACTTGGTGTCCAATGCATGTTGCCTCAGTATCCAACAATAGTCAGCCAGCATTGAGAATATCCAGTTGTCCTGATATCCTTTTTCCATTGTGCCAATGTCCTGGTAAAAACTTTCACAGTCTTTGTCAATAATTTCATCTAGATTTTCATGAAAAAGTCCAAGTGTGAATCTTCAGTGTCATGTTCTAGTTAGATGATCTTATATGCAGTAAGAAGTTTGTCAACCAGCTAAAAATAGTTTGATTATATGTTATGACCATAATGGAGACTGCCCATTATGGTAATGTCATAACAGTCATAAAACAGATCAGTCAAATGACCAGCACAATTTTACAACCTTTTTGTGTGTGTGTTGGCCATGAAAAAAAATGCTGTGATTTTGCTGAAAACTGAAAGTGCTGCTTTTTGGCAAGTATGTCATGTCATTTATGTCACATCATTACATATGCTTCAAATGGCCATACATGTAGCTGTATTGCTGAGAGCCTGAACTGTGGGTCATGTAATGCAAGGAGGGGGACAACCATCAGAACTTTGTATCCGGGTAATAAGTTTCCTTTTTCAGGTCCATTGTAACTTTGAACATTCACTAAGTGACCAGTCAGAAGTTAAGAACTACCTGTAGTGTATTAGAAGCCTATATATCTGTGATTTGTGAACATAATTATTAAGTTTCCCTCAAAGGGGAACATAATCATAACTTGGGAATAGAAACTTGAGGTTGGCAGGAAAATCACTTTAACATTTCCTGGAATATGAAAAAAAAACCCTCAAATGGAAGGATGCTAACGTAAATTTTCATTAGTTGATTGAGATAGGTCTGAAGAAACACCATTCAGAATTCATAATGTTGTTTACAGTACTAATATTCCTAGCATGTGATGTACTTTTCAGAAATTAATTATATAGTCCTAAGGTGCTATTATATAATGTGGCATATTGATGTACATGGGCATATTGGGAACACAGTACGAAAAGATGTGGAGATTGTGTCCTATCCCTGTGAAATTTCAAATATGAATTGAATATTCTTTTAAAACCACATGACTAAAAAAGCTGAGAGCAAGATTTGGGAAAGGCTTCCCTTAATAGGGCACAAACACACACACACACACACACAAAGAGAGAGAGACATACACACATACACACAGACAGAGAAAGAGAGAGACAGAGAGAAAGAGAAAGAGAGAGAAAAGGAGAAAGAGAATATGAAGGAGACAGAGAAAGAGAATATGAGAGAGAGAGGCATGTAACGTATACATTGGTTTCAGCCTGTCACAAAATCGAAATCAAAATATGCCTTTACCAGATGCTTGGATATAATGCAGCCACTCTGGATGTGCTCCATTCCCCTGCTCAGATTTTAACAGTCATTTTCATCCTCTGCTGCTCCAGATGATGATAGGTGCATTGTGCCTACAGGTAGGCAGCAATTTGTCACAAGCATCAGTGCTCTGTGTGCAACAGAAAGGAAACAACAAATTCATTAGATTGCATATCTGCAAGGTGAGGAAAAGATACTGATGCCTTTATAATGAAATGCAATGGAGCTGCTGGTGACATTTCTCAGCAGCCTATTTGTGTGTTTGTGTGCTTTCACGCTGCCATTCAGGTATACAGATTGATATCACTTATGTCCTAGCATATATAGCTGATTTTGTGCTGGGGAAAAAAATCCATGTACTTTAAGACCAGATCTATAGAAAGAGGAATGGGTGATTACTATTCTGTAATTATAGATCTCTTCCCAGTGTCAACATATTAGAGAAAAAACTCGGGATTTTTAAGGAGCAATACAAAATCTAGGATTTTTTAAGCTATTCCTCTCTTCTCCACAACCACAGATGATTATTTTATAGAGATAATTGATCTGCTATTGTAGTATACTGTGCATTTCCTGTTCATATATGAACTATATCCAGTTTCTGACATTTACAGCAGAACAGGGAAGTACCCTGAAGACTTTATTGAACCATCATAAGCTAAATTGGTGAGACTTGGTTTTAGAATTTGTCTAAGTATAAAATATGTTACAACTGCATGTCAGGAGAAGAAATGACATCAGAATAAAATACTTGTCCAGTGGAATTGACATAGTCAAAGCTATTATAAGAAACTTGACAACTTTAAGGTTGTTGTCCAAGTAAGGTCTTGTAGATGGAAGATTATAGTTTCTTGATCAGAAAGAAGACTAAAATTTCTGATAATTGGGATTATGAATGAATGCCAGATGCCATGGGGAATTTATAGAATATGCCCAAACATGTGTATCTCTATGTGAAGTAAGTGCATGTGTTTGAAATAGATCCATATGATTTTATATGTCAATTTATATTTGAAAAATATATTTCCAATGCAATAATCCACTTGCATATCACCAAAGTAATATTTTTCTTCCCAAATTAGTGATTATGGGTTTGAGCGCCACAGCAATGGCCAGTGTTTGCCAGCTTTTTGGTATAACCCATCATCTTTGTCAAAAGAATGCAGTCTTGGTCAAAGTTATCTCAATAGCACTGGGTAAGTAGTCAAAGCTGCAATGCTGCTGACCCATTACCATATGATTCCTCAGTCTGTGGTTTTCTTTATATCTTGAGGGATACTTTTAGCAAATGGAAAGCTGAGTCAGGATTATTGTAAAACTATAAAAAGTATAATTATCCTGTATTGATGGCAATATAGCAAACCTTTTCAAGTTTTCCAAAATGATAGGTTTACTTTGTCCGTCAACAAATAGGGAAGATTAAGTTTTATCAATATTATCTATGATCCTATAAATTTCCTATCACTATATTTGGCAGGTAAAAATTTATATTGAATTATAAAAGTGAAAGTTTACTCTTTATCCCCTCACATTTGAGAGTTCATTTGGCCCAGCTTAGTAGTGACACATGTTACTTGCTACTTTATTGTGACAAAACAGCACTATATACATTTTCCAGTACCATTAACTCTGATAATTGGTGTGTTACTTCTTCTTCTTAATATCAGAGCATGACATATGGCTAAAGTTCTGTACCAAGTCAATTTATACTGTTTCATGATTCAGTGGTTTAAAAATCTGACGTGTGACAGCGATGGTCTGGAAAAGGGACCTATCATTAGAAACAAGCAGCTTGTAACTAGTCTCTTCAGGGTTCTTTGTTCTTTTCACAGGTACAGAAAGGTCGTGTCTAATAACTGCACAGACGGTGTGCGTGAGCAGTACACAGCCAAACCACAGCAGTGTCCTGGCAAAGCCCCGCGAGGACTTCGGATTGTCACATCAGATGGCACACTGACATCAGAACAAGGGCATAATGTTACCTTCATGGTACAGCTGGAAGAGGTATGGTCTGTTTAACATGTTCCCCACTGGGGTTTGAAGTCAGAATCATTTAGAAGAAAATGAATGGGACTGAACAGAATTAATTAACCAGTGTGATTTAACTGATTAGTGACTTGACAAATTTGAGCTGTACATCTGGTCTGTCATCCTGTTATAAAAAGGGCTTGGTTCTTTCCTCCATGGCCAACTTGTCAGCTATTTGTACCTCTGCCCTCACTGGCACGTTGAAATAAGAATATCTGGGCTAATGTTGCAAAACAAATGGCAACAATGTCACGTACAGCATTTGTAAAGCATGGGTTTCTAGAACATCTCATTTTGCAATTAGCATGTTCACAGTCTAAAAAAGTCTAGATTAAAGTGGTTTTGTAACTGACTTTCAGATAATTATGTTTACTTTATTTTCGCTATATAAAGATTAAGGAAGAAAAAGTTTAAAAAATGCTTCTTAAATGTAAAAAAAGATGCCTTACAAATATATAGCTAAGGGATCTTATGTAGTGTCTTTCAACTGAAGGCTAAAAATATATATAAGAAATAATCAACCAAAAATTATTTAGACAAGTGTAAATTTTAGGGTTGCTAAATATAAAGAAAAATCTGTGGTATATGGCCCCAGCAAAATCCATGCTCTTGAATTTTGCAGTTTGCACATGATTTTGCATTTCCATAGATTTCACCAGTTCTAATCTTTTTTAACTGGTATATCACATTGTCTCTCTTACACTTTTCGAAGGCACGAGGTGTATGCAAGATTCAAAGTTGCATTGGTAAATATATTGGAGTAAATAAATGAACTATGCTATAGACGGAGCTATATGAATGTATAAAAGGAAACCTTGTTTGTACAATAGATTTGCCATATGAAGAATTGTCTTTTCTTGGTTGAATCTTCCCTATCTACCAGAATATGGAGGCAGGAAATGGAATAGATCAGTGGTGCGCCCACACTCACATACCAGCACCCAGAATTCAATGCGTGCCCCCCTTCCCACATCCCCTGCACATGCCCCGCCATCCCCTTACCTGCACTGTGCCTCACAGCTGATTTATTGGCTGGTTTAAGGCCTTTTTCGGCCTCCCAGAGGCTTGGAAAAAGCCTCTGCAAGGCTTTTCAAGTGAATTATAGGCCCGTTTCATCCCTTCTGGTATTACAGGAAGTGACAAAATGGGCCTATAATTTGTCCTAAAAAGCCTTCCAAAGGCTTTTTCCAAGCCTCTGGGATGCCAAAAAAGGCCTCAAACCAACCAGAAAAAAAATCAGCTGTGAGGTGCATGCATGCACAGTGAGGTAAGTTTGCCTGCGGCTCGCGTGGCAGCACAAATGGCTCTGCGTGCCACTTGTTCACCATCGGGGTATAGATCTCCTCCTAAGAAGATACATCTAATAGGATCAAGAATCACCTTCTTCATGGTGGCTCCTTAGCTCTGGAACATCATCTCCATAGATATAAGATTGACACCCATTTTGACACTCTTTTGAAAGGCCCTGAAGACCTGTATCCCATCCCAGTATACAGAGAGAGAGGGGGAGGGAGGAAGGGAGAGAGAGAGAGAGAAAGATTTTACACACACAACCAACCCCTGTCACAGTCTCTTCTACATCTAAGGCACAGAATGGCACCAGAAGGATGACAGCCCCAGGATGCTCGGCATTCAAGATTTGGCCAAAGCAAATGCAGCTCTATGGGTTCAAGGCACAACAAAAGCCACATGACTCCAACATGTTTTGTTATTCATTTGTTTGTTTGTTTATTTATTTATTTATTTATTTATAAAATTTGTAGGCCTCCCATCTTACCTCAAGGTAACTCTGGTCATCATACAAGGTTTCAGGCACAAAGCAGGGAACTTGGTGTCAGTGGGTTCCAGGCACAATGAAAACAGCATGGTCTCAACAAGTTCAAGGCACAACAAAGGCAACTTAACTTTGATAGGTTCAAAGACATGACAGTGGCAAAATGGCTCCAGCAGTTTCAAGGCCTTATGACGGTAGCTTGGCATCAATGGGTTCAAGGCAATAGATCAAGATTGCTCATGGATCAACAGATTACAAACAATTGTCTCTTACAAGTCGCAGGCTCCAATGCTGAAGTAAATAGATACTGACCATTGTACCTATTAGCAAGGCTGAGGCTGCCTCCTTGCAAGTAGCCTTGCTGACCTCCATTGCACCTCCTTCTGCTCAGCTCTGTGAAATCTTGATTGAGTGTAGATGTCAACTCCTCTTCTGCTGGCCAGCTGTAACTGCACCTTTTCTCTGACCTGAGAGGCCAACTGGTCATCCACAATAATTGAATACAACTGTGCCTCCTCTCCTTGCACAGCTGACTGATCATCCATCTGCTTCTTGGTGCTGGATTCCCCTGACATTCCTGGTGTAGCTTCACCTACATCATCCAAATTTGTCTGAGAGCCTTCATATCTCTCTGGTGCTCCTCATAGTGCCTTCTTAGATGTCCCAGAACTAGCATTTCCCCATTGTCCAAGCCAATGCCCAAGGGAGCCATCACAATCTTTGTCAGTAAATCTAGGGAGCTTGATGGGGCATATTAAACAGCTTATTTGATTGACTGTTGTTGCCAGATGGCTCGGGATATATTGCTTTCTAATGAGTATTTAACTTTGTAAGTGGCCCAGAGTCACTGAGAATTAGTTGGATAGTCATATAAATTTTGTTAAATAAATAAAATAAATTTGAAAAAAGGGCAAATTGGAAAAAATGTTATGGACAAGCAATACCATTTGATGATGATAGTTTTCAAGTTCACTTTGAATACCTGAGTTTCACTGAAGGGGATATAGAATTATATGGCTGAAATTAATTTGCATAGTAAAGATGGAATGATATGCATTTAGATTATAATCCTGAATTCATTTATCAAGAAATAAACTCTATTCAAGTCCATGGGACTTAATGTTAATTGGACACATATTTTTTAATTAATGCAAGAGATTAAAAACATTCATAAGCTAAATTTAATAAAACAAAATTATTCCACCAGAAGAACCTTCCATACCATTTCCATCAACCCTGCATTTTCAGCATAAGCAAAAAGTTAATATATATACAGAAAATATAAAGCAAATTACAGATAATTTCACTTTGGAAGAGAAGTAGAAGAAACATGTGCCTGATACAAAGACCAATTAAAACTTCATTTGAAACATCTGCAAGGATAAAGAGATAACACATAACTAAAAACTTCCAACTAGAATGTGAGGCTTGGGATTCAATTTTATAAAATTTGAGTTGCATCTCATTGTTTTAATACTTTGATTTACATATAAATCCTGCACTTTGTAGAAAAAGAATCATGCTTGCAGCCTCTTGAATGAGATTGAAATTGACTGTTTGAGGATATTATTCTCATTAGAATGATTAAAATTAGCAATACCATCTCTTAAGAGCCAAAATGCAGAGGATGTAATCAAGGTATAATGATGTTTGATAAGCCCGTCAGGTTGTTATATCAGAAGAACCAGGAAAACTGGAAGATGAATATAATTAAGTAACATGATCATCAGGCAAACATAAAAAAAGGAATCTTCACTAGGACTTTGCTAACAAATTTGTCAAACAAAAGCAATAACTATGGCAGACCAGCAGAAACATATCTTACTTTCATGCCTTCATAGCATAATAATTTCCCATGAATGAAAGAGGAGTAAAAAAAGAAGAGCTCTTTCAAACTGAACTACATGTTGACATAGGTTTTGAGAGAAAACCATACTAAATTTCAAACTATGCTAAGCTTCCAGTGTTAAATAGCTATTTTGCTGTTTTAAAATAGGAACCATAATAATGGCAGTGTAAGTGCCATTGTAAGTGGAGGAAGTGCAAACTGAACAAGAGTAGAACGTGACATTGGAAAAGTTCTTGAGGAGATGCACTAACATAGTGGTCTCCAACCAGTGGGCTGCGGCCCAGTGGTGGTCCTCAAGAAAATTTTGGTGGTCCGCAGAGAAAGGCCACCCCAACCCCCCCCAACCCCCAAAGCTATTAATCCAGGCTGCAGAGGAACACAAGGGTGTGCCACCCACATGACCCGGGAACACAAGGCTTGCATTGCTTGCATTAGGAACAACATGAGGTAGTGAGGGGAAGGGGGAAAGTGGGGAGGGGGGAACTTGCCTGGCCACGAGGTTGCTTCTTTCCGCTTTTTTTGTCTTCTGCTTTTGGCTGCATGCAAGGAAAGCAGCAAAAGTCTTTCTATCCCCCCAACTCTGCCAGAAATGAGTTTTGGGACCCTGCAAGACATCCTGCTCCAAGAGGCTGCAAAGATTCATTTCTGGTGGAGTTTGGGTGAGAGAAAGAAAGGCTTCTGCTGTTTTCCTTGCATGCAGCCTGAAAACAGAACTCAAAGCAGGCTAGGATTGTGGCTGCCTTGGAGGGGTTGGGAGTGTGTGAGGGAGAGAGAGAAAGAGAAAGAGAAAGAAAATCACCAGCCTTCAGGTTAGATCGATCTCCTCCCCCCCTCTAAGAACGGAGCTTAAAGCAGGCTAGGAAAGAGGCTGCATTGGAGGGGTAGGGTGTGAGAGAGATCTGTGTGTGTGAGCGATCCAACACTGCTGGGGAATTCACGGGGGGGCGGGGGATTTGCATGTCTCTGTGTCTTTTCTTTCCAGCCTCAAGGTGGGTGGGGGGATGGAAGGAAGACACACAGAGAGAGAAAGAGAGAGGAGGGAGTGATCCATTGTTGCTTGGGAATAAATGTTAGATAGTACTGTGCATTCAAATGTTTGTCCTGTAATGACTGGAATAAAAATTGAGTGGAAATGTGTATTTCGTGCTTGCTGACAAACTTTCATAAGTGTGAAAGTATAGGGAAAAAAATACTAGTTACACATTACTCTTAACAAAGACAAAACACCAGGACTTTGGATCCTCCCAAACCCAAAGGATAAGAGAAGCCCTTCCTTTGCCTTCGCTCTGTCCCAGAATTCCCATTTAAGTTTATGTTTAATATAAAAAATAAAATTGGTATATTAAATATATT